CTTCTATTCTCTTGGCTAATATCAACAGACGTCGCTTGTGTGGCATTAGTCACGGTATTCGAGCAAAAGCGTTCTGCGTCGTTCTCGCTCGTGTAATCCTCCGTCGAATCGTAGTCGTCGCTGTGTCTCTCGAAATTTTCGTACAGCACGTGCGAGCCAATATTGTGACTCGCCAGAATATCCGCGATGTCGCTTGCCGACGGTTTCACATCTCGAGGATATTCTTCCTCTTTCCCCTCGACACCTGGTTTGTGAATATTGTCGCTGTAATGCTGCAGATACTCCTCGATGGACGATTTGATCCTCGCCCTCGTCTTGCCATCGTCCGTAAACGGCTTCACTACATTTACAATGGCTGTATCTTGTTTTTTATTACAAGCATTCGAGGCAGTTGCACGAATTGATCTAATATCATTGGCGACGTCGTGCGCTTCAGTGTATACGGACCGCTTTTTCGCAGTAGGGAAATTTTTATTCCGCTGTATATCCGCGGAAATATTTTCCGCGGCTTCGTCGACTCGTGCCCTCGTTGTATCATTGTCAATTATTTCGCTGTCGACGTTTCGCAGACGAGAGACTGCCGATCTGATCCTCGCTGTCGATCCTTTTCTGTCGGGAAAAATTATGCTTCTCACAATTTCGGCCTCCTCCTGCAAGCTCGGCTTGCTGCTCGCTCGGAGGACGCTGGTCGCGCTTCTGCGCAAGTAATGATTCGCCTTGGGATCCATGTAATTTCTCTGAACGCTGTCTATCTTAGATGTCATCTTCTCCAGTGTCTCGTATAATTTTTTCATTCGGACACTGTCGATGCGATCCTTGCCCTTCGTCCAGCTTTTTTCCTCTCGTAACGCTTGCCATGCCGACTTCACGTTCTCTACTTCGCGATCTATATCGCCTCGCTCGTCTGAAGCGTGAAACGATCAAAATGCAATTTTATTTTTAGAGCTTATAATCTAATCATAATAAATATATAAAAGGCATTAAAAAGAGAAAAATTTAAAAAGCGAACGGAGTTACTCGATACTAGAAATTTACACTCTTTGTCGATTTGTTTGTACAGCGTTCTCATCGAATCCTCTCTGCCAAGTGTAGGTAGGTAAGTATTTTTTGCCAGCGAAAAATTTGCTACATTCGAATCTGGATCAACTGTCACGAAATCGATACGCGAATT